TTGATGTAATCTCATTTATTTACCAAGAACACACGCTGGGGCCTGTTCCCCTGAGCACTGGCAGAACAAACAGCCACCAACTTGGCTCAGAAATCCCACACCTGCTCCTCGGTGCCCAGGAAGCCCAGTTCTGTCACCCAGCAGCAATCAAGAGCGAGGGTCATCACCTGCAGCCGGACTGCGGGACTCAATATCACAGCCCTCGTACCCACACGGCTTTTGATCTGAGCTTCCTCTGGAGGAGTGATAGCAATAATCAGGATGATGGTTTTCAAATCTGTTTGCTAAGGTTGGTCCTCCCAAGACCCACGTAGTGCTCTGTGCCCTTTCCATGAGCATCCCGTGGCATGTGGGACATGCTCCATTTCAACAGCACGGATATCTCCTGTAAGCAGAGTGGGCACAAGACTTCAGCTCTCCAACAGAGGCAAAGTTTCAGAAGCTGAAGGCAGTTCCCACTGAGCCCATGTCACCCTGCTGTCCTCAGGGCACAGCACTGGTTTCCATGCAAGAAGCTCGGAGGTCTACATTTTGGATTGCCTAATTCTGTGGCCAAATCCCCATCTCCAGCCCAGGCTTCTCTTCACATTTCAAGCACTGAGAAGCGAAGAGCAATGCCAGATGGGGACACAGGAACCCAACTCTGTGCTGCTCTCTGCTGGGGCACTGGCAAATGAAGAGGTTGTGGTCACACTCAGCTTCGTCTCACACACCCCATGCATCAAAGCAAGCTTGACTCAGCCCAGCTGACCACCAGAGCAGGGTGGGGACCTCTCAGAGCTCATGCAGGACCATCGGCCTTTGGTTTGTGGCAGCTCAAGATAGTGAGGGAGTGAAGAACATCTGCACAGCACCTGTGGAGTCTGCTAACACGACCGAGGTCTCCATCAGCCCATCAGCCATCATTCCCCACAATAGTCTGGGTTAGCACATCGCTCTGTGGCCTTGATTCCCTTCCCAGTGTTCCACGTGCTGGTGGCCCATGGGAGTCATGCCACGCTCTAAGGCACAGCATAGAAAAGGGCTTTGTCTTTCTCTGTGTCTCCGTCTGTTGGGGCAATGGAAGACTAATGCTCCAAAGCTGAGTCCAAAACTTGGGGGGCAAATGACACAACCACCGATTTTCTCCAGAAATGTTTTGCACGTCTGAACTGCGCAAGATGAAAAAAAAGATCAGGCTAGAGTTGAATGGGAGCCCTGAATCAGACTGGGCTCTTGGGGAAGGACCCGTGTCTCACTGCTATGAGGAAATGCCACCTTCCACCTCTCGGGCAGGGAAAGGACTGCAGGCCGTGGCTCTGAAGATGGTTTATGCAGGATCAGGCTGCCAGCAACCGTCCCGATCATGGGAAGGTGCCTGCCCATACCTCAAGGAGCACAGCCACATCCCAGGGCAGGAGGTAGGCAAAACCCAAAGCGTTCCCTGGATTACCCACACAAACACCCCAACCTCTGTGTCGAAGGTCAGCTCATCTCAAACCAGGCAGAGCAGTCTGAACCACAGGAGTCAGCGGGCACAGCATCCCCACCTCTGAGAACCTCCATGCCGAGAGCCCCAGCCCTGCCCAGCATCACGCTGAGCTGGACCCAGCCTGAGCAACACCTGCACGAGGCAGGCAGGGCTGGATGCCTCCCGAAGCCAGGCACCCATCGTTGGAGCTGCCTCTTGGAGATCTCCTCCCCACCCAGCTCTCCCTGGCCCTTTCCCTGCTTTATTCTTCCCTCTTTTAGTACATCCTGTGTTTCCCAAGCCCACTGATTGTTCTCCCTTTTGTGCTGGGGCAGACAGCCGGGCTCCCTAGACAATAGACAGGCTTCACCAGTGACTGGGAAGGAGAGGTGGAAGATTTACAGCCATGAGGTAATGGGCTGGAGGAATTCAAACTTTCTTTGCTTTAGGAACTGCCTCCCTCGTCTGCTTTGTCAGCAAAGTGGAGACAGGGAGGGTCCCGAGCTCCATTCAGAGAGCTGGGACAGACCTGAATCCTCGGGCTGCGACTGATTTCTGCCTCTGGGCGCAGCCTGCCCCGCCTGCTTTGACACTGCTTTTGCCAGGTTTCTCAACCTTGCTGCGTTGGTGACCCCCCACTCTCCTTTATTCAGAGCACAAAAATGCCCCAGCCCTTTTCCATTTACCCCAACGTCACCCGATGCCTTTGATGGTGCATCAGAACACGGGCAGGCAGCGCTGCGCCCCAGATAACACACAGCGTGTGGGGGCATGGCGAGGCCAGCAGGAAGCTGCTGGTGCAGAAGGTGAGCTCTTGTGGGCTGCGTGGGGGCGAGAAGGCAGCCACTGACAGCCAGGAGAAACGCTTTTGCAACTTGCAGCTGCCCGCATGGTTTCAGCAGTCCCTCCTTGGTGTGGGTGCAGCAGGCACAGACCGGGAAACGCGGCCTTTTGTCACGAAGGGTCATTTTTGGGGTGACCCATAACATAATTTCAGGCTGCCATGTTGTTTAATAGTTTGACTGCTCCAGGCAGGTGCTGCATCTGCAGCGAACGATGGCTGTGAGCTAATATGTGTGCTGTGTCTGTATGACTCCATCATGTCCTCTGCGAGGGCTCCAGGCTGCTGAGTTCTGCAGCCTTCAGACACTGTGCTGGTTAGAAAACTGAGAAGAAATGCCAAGTTTACTCATTTTGGGTCCCCTCAGCACACCCTGCATTGCCGACAGGCTGTCAGCTGGACACCACCTGGCAGACTGCATGCAGCACACTGTGTTCCATGGACAGCACTTCTCCTCCCCCAGCCCAGGGGAGGTCAGGATGAAGGATGCTCTGGGGCCACAACCTTTGTGCCCCATAGAGGACCAGCCCAGTTCCTTCATGTTTGCGAAGGTATTGTGAGCATTTTCCGAGCAGCCTGGGGGCTCCGTACTGGGCACTGTTATCCTTCCAGCTTGGCAGCAGTGTCTCACCTCCAGCCTGCTTTCTGCACACCTGGTCTGCAGGGTTGGCTGTCCTGCTCATAGATAACATCTGAAAATGAGCATTCATGGACCTGCCTGGGAGTTTCTCCGGCTCCATCACAGCTGCCTGCAGGGGAGCTGCAGGAGCAGAGTGCTGGAGGTGCCCACATGGGCTCAGCACAAAGCTGAGCGATCACAAGGGTTGAGTGGTTTCCCCTTCCTTAACCCAGGTCAGCAATCAGAGCACCTCCAGTGAGAGCCTGCAGTGATGCTCTGGGTGTTGCTCTGTTGACCTTTGGGGAGGTCGTGTTGGTAATGGCCACACGTTGCTCCCACAAGGGCAGAGCTTGGCGAGGCCGTAGCATCTGCGTCATCCTTTGCCAAGGCTTGTCAAGACTTGATGTGGCTGCACAGAACTCCCGTGGCCTAAGCATCTGGGAAGTCTGTGAGATCACAGCTGCTGTGGGTGGTTTCCCCATTTCTGGGGCTGCCCAGGCTGGGAGCAGCACCTGCACTTTGCCAGTGGCCCATAAGAGTGAGAACAGATGGAGCTTTCTTCTCCAGATGAATGTTAATCTCCTGATTTTCTGCCTTTAGCTTCATGTCTGTCCCTGTATCCTCTATAGATAGATAACCCTGGTGAATACCCTTGGTGTGCTCCCCTCAGCCATGGTCCGTGTGTCCCAAAAGCTCTGTTGGCTGGCAGGGAAGGCAGCAGGCAGAGCTCCTGTCCCAGGGCTGTGCCCCGGATTCTGTCACCCCTTTGGATAAAGGTGGGTGCTGTCCTGTAACATCCTACCTCTGCATGTCACATCACTTGGGTGCTTTCCTGCCCTGTATCAGCAGGAACATCAGCGTTGCTCAGTTTTTGTTAAGCCCTAGGAACAGATTTTAAATAATAAGCACAACTTAAAATATCATTATCTATGCTTCTAAACGAGCTCATATTTTTTTTCCCCTGCTTTTCCTGCCTTCCTCCCCAAGCATGAGGTCAGACAGAGCAAGTCCCACCCCAGAGTCCATCTCGACTGCTTGAGAGGTGATATTTCCCTTCTCACTCTGCCCGAGTCCAACCTCCTACACGGAATTGAGAAGGAACATTTGCAGGACCAAATATTTACAATTTCCTTTACTCAAAATCTCACGAGGAATGGAAAACGCTCCGTGGTGAGGAGCACCAGCAGGGTCAGATCCTCCGTCAGGCTGCGGTGCTTCCCTCCATCAGCCCACGTTCTCAGGCCACCACGTTAGAGAGACCGGCTGTTTCTGACCAAGGCCAGCACTGCGTCTCCAGCAGCCCTCGCTCCATCCACCTCCCTGGAAACGGAGCAGGGCAGAGCTGTGAGCTTTTTCTAGCGGCGGTAGTTAACAGTTGGCCAGGGCTTAAAGCAGGATGGTTTAAATTATGTTTGGGACAGGTTGAATACAATAGAAAACCCAACATCCATAAAAGCACCTGCCAAGCCTAACTCTAAATATAAATCATCTGCAGTGCCAGACCATCCGAAGCCAGTCCTGCTCCACTTGAATTATTGCTTTCCGTTGCTGCGTGAGCGCATCGCTCGCATCCAGCCTCGTCACAGCGCGTTCTGCTTCTCTGACTGCCTCACAGAGCACAGCTCCTCTCAGACGGGCGAGCTGACAAAACCTGGTCAGTCTCACTCCTCAGCTGGTGTCACTTTATGACATTTTCTACTTTCTGAGGCCACCGCTCTCCAGAAGTTCTATTTGTGGATGGCATTATATTGGCTGGAAGTTTGACCTGGATGCGGTGACCTGGGAATGCTTTCTGGGGGCAGTACCAACTTGCCAGCACTGATGCAGGTGGCCGTTGGGCTGAGCCTGGCCTGTCATCTGCTAATGAGGGGAACAACCTCCATGTGCTTCGTTTCTACTGTGGGCAGCTCTCCTCTGGGGTAGGACAGGCAGTGAGGTAATTAGCAGCATCTTAGCATTGCCATGCATGGGCAAATGAATCCCAAGGACATAACAAGGCACGTGAACCTGTGATAAAGTGCAGAGGGTTATGAATAACCTTCAGCAACTCTTTTCTATTTGTCTCTTGTGTGTCCCCTGTGTGTGGGGATCAGACTCTACTGATTGGTGTGCTGTAATCTGATGAGAACCACCTGAGAGGGCTCCCCATCAGCTCAGAGTCAAACCCATCTGCCTCCCTTTGATAGACCAAAGATCTGCAAAGACCTTTTGGGGTTGGATGCTGTTCCCTGAGCAGTGGCTGTCTGAGATCTATGGTGGTTCCCGGTGTGGTGGCTGGAAGTCCAGGTGAGTGTGAGGACGCCTCAGATCATCTGCAGCTGTGGGTTGGTAGAGGCAGGGTCTGGGGGGCTGCAGTTCAGTGCTGACCCTAAGCTGATATCTGGCCTTGTTTTCCTGGCTGATTCCAGCTCGCTTGCTGTTGCTGTAGGTCAGGGTGAGCTCGCAGTGGCACTGGTGTGAGCAGGGCAGTGATGCTGCAGGAGTTCAGCCTCATGCTACAGCACGAGCCAGAAGGGAGCGTTCAGAACAGCCCACCTTCTTGTGCCTGCCGGCCAGCGTTGCAACACAGCTGGCACCACAGCGGTGTCAGAGACACCACAACTGAGGCTTCCGCCCATTTCAGGCATGGGAACACATCCTTGGCTCTTTGGGTTGTTTGTGACGCTGAATTGTCTTTGCTGGTTGGCCATGCTGGCTGGGAATGTGTAGGAAGTGCCATTTTAACAGGATTCTGTAGCACAAAGTGTTCCAAACCAAACATGGCAATGGCCAAAGTGTGAGCGTTCTTGGGGACCGTTTCCCAACGAGTGCTGCCTCCTGAGGCCACTCCTGCCAGCTCCCAGGCTGACGCAGCTCCTGCCTGCTGAGCTGCAGGTCGGAGGCCATAGGGAGGCTGTGCTCATCGGTGCTGCACATCTGCAGGCTGAGACTGGTGGTTCTCAGCACACGTGTGCTGCACAGACATCCCTGCTGCTTCCTGCGGGTGCTTGCATATATCTGCACTGTGTGCTTGTAGCCCAACTGACTGCTCTGAGGCTGGAAAGGGGAGTGGGAGTCTTAAAGAAGCACTTGGAGCAAAATGAGGTGTAAGGGGTTTTTTGGGAATGCTGAGTCTGAAAAAGAGTTTTGGTTCAGTGAACCACTGTGGCAGATATGATGGGGGGAATCCAGGGTTGGCTGTGACGTGGCGAGAGGACACAGGTGCAGGGCTGCGTGCAGCCAAGGCACAGATGTGGCAGCTCTGCAGCCTTTTGCCAGCAGAAATAAATCCCACCTGAGACCTGGGGATCTGCATGCTTTGTCTGCATAGAGCTTTCTGACTCCATGGGAGAAGCTCCCCTCTCCATGAGGTCAGGGATCTGGGCAGAAAGCCCTCAGCCTGCAGCTGGCACCTTAACTCCCACCTTAACCTTAACCTTAACCTTCAGCTCATTTTCCTCTGACCTGAGATCTTTCTTCACCTCGTGGGTAATAGAAATCTGTGATCTCTGGAGCTGTCAGTCTGCTCCAAGGAACAGGAGGCACAAAGACCCCGGCATCACACCAACACCTGTCCTCTTATCTCTGAGGCCCCTGTGCTTTTGCAGGAACTTTAGGGAGCCGCTCCAGAAGTGCCAAATCAGGCAGAATCCTCCATTCCCAATTAATTGGGTTCCTGATGGTGAGAGAACGGCGTGTGCAGCTGCAGTGCTGTCATCAGTGTTTGGAAAGCTGAGAGGTGACGAGCAAGGAGAGGAAGTTCATGTAAATGCAGACCTGTTCCCTCTGCCAGCTCTTGCATGTGGTCACCCCTGGTACCCAAGTCCCTCCTTGTAAGCAGCAGGAGTGCTGGTGGTGTACGGGGAAACGAAATCTTTCATTACCTCCAGCAAAAGCTGTTCTCCATCACAGCCCGTTTTCCAGGCAGTGTGCAGCTGTGGTTGAAATTTTTTTTGAATGAAAACATATTGTAAAAGTGAAAGGTTGTGTTTCAGTTTGGGTTTTGTTTTGCTTCTGATTTATTTTTTTTTTCCACGTTCAACCTTAGGTTAATGCATGCAGATAATGTATGTAATTAAATACTGTGTTCTCATGGCTTGGCATTTAGTGAATGAAATGTTTTGACGTCGGCTTAAAGCATTCCAACCGGAGTTTCTGAGGCTTCCAACTGAAAATATACATCAGAATCTTTCTCCTGTAAAATTTCCCTGACTTCTGAATGAGTTTTTCCTGTTTGTGTCAGACGAACCCCCCCAGGTTCAGCAGTGCATCTCTTCCAGTGCTGTGGTCTGTGTGTACACCTTGTGTTCGGTTTGGGGGTGATATTCTGCCCTGCTGCTGTCACTCCCGAGCTGCAGCTCTCGGGATGGGCAGCCTGGTGCTGCACTCTTTGGGTGCTGCTGTGCCCTGGTTGCTGCCCTGATTTGGTCCCCTGCTCAGAGCTCTGTTGCTGATGGGGTGGCAGGTTGTGTGACTATGATTTCTGCCAGGTCTGTTCTCTGATTTCTTGCCAGACAGGGAAATAACAGGAGTAACTGTGGGCTGCCAGCTCCTCTCAGAGTGAAATAAAGCAGCATGTTTTTGTGTGCGCCTCTGGTCGACTGCAGGCTATCAGTTTCCTCTCTGCCAGCCCTGGGCTCTGCCATCTCCTTTGTGCAGGTCTGGAAGTAAATGGAGCAGGGCTGGGGGGAGCAGCTGGCAGTGGGGGAGGAGTGCCCCAGATGTTGGGGGTTTCGAGTGGGCAGAGGTGAAGTGTGGGCACGGCAGTGTCCAGGAAGGCTTTATTTCATCCCTCCTGCCCAGGGCAGGGGTTGGATGAGGCAATCTTCAGGGATCCTTTCCAGCCTAAGCATTCTATGACTGTCAGCCTTCCCTTAGGGTCCCAGCTGCACTCCTCCAGGACTCGTGGGGTCAATGCACCTGGAATGCACTTGGTGCAGTCTGAAGAAGGATGTGGATGGCAGGGGCTGCTGTGCCCTGAGATGCAGGAGGGAGGCTGCAGGGTGCAGATAGCAGCTGAGCTGCGCCCGAAGGACGTGCTCTGGAAAACACCTTAAGCTCCCATGGCTGAAATAGGAGAAAAGCCTCTAGGAACACATTTGGCAACATCCACGTTTTGTCTCTTTGAGAAGCAGTCAGCATTCATCCACTGCCCTGGCTCATCAGGTGGCTCCAAAGGGTTATTTCTGATTGCCTGCCCACAGACACACAGCTGTGCCACCTCCTCTGCTCAGCCCATTTCTGCTTCCAAGCACGGAGGCTGCAGAGCAGCGAGCAGAGCTGGGGCAGCAGTGGGGTGAATTGGGAGAGGATTAATGAGGGCGGCATGAGCGCGATGCTCGCCACGGGCGGCTGGGACGCGCTGCATGGATCAGACTGCTGACAGGGCAGGGATGGGCTGAATCTCACCCTGCCAGGCTGCTCTTGGTGGAACCCTTATGATTGAAACGCTGTGGAGATCTCAGGTAGGGCCCGCATGGGGGGGTGATCTAAGATGTCTGATCTGTTTTCAAACTGTAGAGGTGGGAGTTGAAACGCATTCTGCTTCTGCCTATTGCAGTGATAGGGGATTGAAGCGGGGCTGGTGCCTCCAGATATGGTGCAATGCAAATGAGCTCTTGCTGCTTTGATCTCTTTATCTTCCCTTTCTCTTTTTCTCCACCAAGAATACCTTTAGCATGGTTTTCAACCTGCAGGCTTTTAGCAAAAAAATTCAGCTGGCTCGATGGCTTCCAGTCCCATTCTGCAGCCTCAGCTTTACCCAAAGCAGCGCAGGCATTTTGTGGTGGCCTCGGAGATCTCAAGATACTGAGGAAAGGAGATAACAGGAACCTTTATGAATCACTCTTGTACAATCTGAAGAATTTATAAAAACCATCATTTATTGCCGTTGGGCTCCTTTATTAAAGGTGGTTTATTTGTGCATTTTTTTTTCACTGGATGCTAAAGAGAGTGGCCAGAAGATTGGTGGAGATATCGCTCATCTCCAGGAGATTTCTGCAAGACAGGAGCGCTCCGTGCCTTGCAAGAGCAGGTCCAGCGATAGATCCTTCAGGGATAAGCATGGGAATTTTGGTCTGGTTTTACAGCTCCCACAGAAATCAGACTGCAGGACCAAAACTGGGAGGCTTTAATGTGTTTCTGTGTAATCAATTAATCAAGAGAATACCAGCTTGTTGGCTTCTCCCCACAGCCTTCTTGAAGGTTTCTGCTCAGATGCCTGGGTGAAAGGAATCTCTGTTTGATGGTCGGGGAACTCGAGTTCCAACACTGAGGGGACCTGGGGTTGAGTCCGTGCTGGGAAACATCCCACCGAAATCCTGAGCTTCCTGAAAAAGGGAAAGGTATGGATAGAGTGGATTGATTTTTAGGGCTTGAGGAGATGGTCGTTATTTGGGATTCTTAACAGCTTCCAGAAGGCTCAAACCTGAGGATCGCAGTCATCGCGTTCTTTGGGGTCGCTTTGCTCCCTTACAGAAGTGGATCAAAGTCTGTTTCCCTGAATACTGGGAGTGCTGCCCCGTGGTTTGGGCAGTGTCCTCCCGGCATCCCACCTGCCTCCGTGATTGTGCCTCAGGTGAATTGCTTTGCTCTTTAAATCTCGTTATCATTCCTCAACTAAAAGCAGTGCCCATCTCGTGGCTCTTGCAGAGGCCATGGTGAGCAGTTACTGGAGAACCCGGCGCGTGCTGTGTGTCACGTCATTCTCTTTGGTAAAGATCAGCTCATCAGTGAATGCTCAAAGGTTGCTCATGAAAGAAGGTGACATCAAAGCAAATAATTTAAGGAACCCCTGGAGGGCCAGAGGAGTTGTAAGGTCTGAGGCTGAATCACATGGGCTCAGTTTCCATGAACTGTGTCTCAGTTTTCCTGCAGGTACAAGTTAGAAATGCGTCTGATAAATGTTTAGGATGAGCTGGGGAAGGAGCGGGGGACGGTTTTAAATCACACTAATTACAGCCATGATGGCTTTGGTTCAGCGCCATTGGGAAGCACAGGTAACCTGAGCGCCTGGTGCTGGAGGCCTTCAAAGACGTCGCCCTGTGGGTGGGTGAAGGTGATGCAGAGCCACATTTTGGTTCTGGGAGCTCGTGTTGCTTCTCTGACAGCGTTTCATACTGCTGCCACATAACGTGGTTGGACTGCAGGAGTCCTGCTTTGATCTTGTAGCTTGTGGAGAGGGCAAAGAGGAGGTGGTTGGGGAAAGTGGAGCAGGAGAGCTCTGGGATGGGATGGTAGGGCATGTCCCACTGCACCAGAGCAGCGTGGCCTCCTGGACCCAAAGGCAAGCAGCTGGGCAGGCTGCTGAACCCAATATTTGTTTGACTTCAGCAGATGCTGAAGATTTAAACGAGAGAGCTATTTTGGAAAGACAAAATCACTGGAGGACCAGAGAAGCAGCAGGAGAGCCTGTGATCCATGGATCCCAAAACCCTGCGTGGATGTGCCTGAAAAAGTAATCCCAAGGAGGGTTCGGATGCAATGGCATCCTTTCAAAATGAGCCGAACGTGGCTGGCTGGAGCAGCCATCCCCCAACACCTGCACAGATGGGTGGCCCTTTCCACCCAGACAGAAGCACTGCCGTGCTTACGTGTGCTGGGTTGTGTGTAACGCAAGAAACGTTACTAAGAGGAGAAGCACGAGCTTGGGAAAACAAGCAACAAGTCAACAACATCCTGATATGAGCAATAAGGCAAACACTCCAACAACGCTTCGGGCAGGAATGCTGTGCCTTCACACGAGGGTGGGTGACCTGTGGAGAAAAATGTGTTGAGATTGAGTCCTGCAGGAGAACTGTGGATGAACAAACAGCATCCAAACCCCCGCAGCAGCAGAGATTTATTTATTTGTAAAAAAATGAGCCTAAATCTTCCCTGTGCCTTGAAAATCCATCCTCTTCTTCTTTCTGCCCTAAGAGGGGATGGGGGAGGGCCCCTTCTCTTTGGCCTGAACACAGATGGGAGCCCTGGGGAGGCAAAGCAAGGGGAGCAGAGTGATGGGTAGGGTAATTTCTCCTCTGATGTCTGGATGACTGCTTGAGGAAGCAGCGTGCTTTCCTCCTCCTGGGGTTATGTGCGTATAGACTGAGGTGGAGGAGGGAAGGAGTCAGAATAGGTGCTTTTATATGAGATTGGAGAAGTGCCTTCTGCAGGGAGCAAGCAGTGCTGCCCGCATTGCCAGCAGAAGGCAGCTTGAGGAGCAGGCTGCAGAATTTCCAGGAGATGTTGAATGTTTCAGGTCTGTGTTTTGTTTCATAGCCTTTCATTTTGTTTTTTTTGGGGTTTTTTTTTTTTTTTTTTTGTTTTATTATTTTTGCATTGTTTCACAACATGTCAAAACATCAGGCTGATTCATTACAGTGTAAACACGATGCACTTTGATGCAGGGGAAAAAAGATGTTTTAATGGGTGCTAAGTAGCAACTGCCCTTAGGGATTTAAAAATAAAAATAGCAGCAGCACAAACTAATATTTTAACCCTTGTGTTACACCACGGGATCATCCAAATACGGAGCATGGAGTGGCAGACAGAACAATGTGAACAGGAATACAGTGTGCTGCTCTCCATCCCTTGGCAGCCCGGGCTGCACAGAGCTGTTAGCTCTGAGATGAGCTGCGCAGGGTTTTCCCTCACTGAAGTGCTTTCTGTCTCAGTGGAGAAGCAGAGCACACGGAGTTATGTGTGCACACTGCAATGGGACTCACCTGAGAATGTCTTCTTCCCCACAGGGATCTGAGCATGAACAACATCAGCCAGCTGCAGCCCAGCGCCTTCGGCCGCCTGCAATTCCTGGAGGAGCTGTGAGTACCCAGTAGGGGGGTGCTGTGCTGGGGGCTGCGTGCTTCTGAGATGGGCTGGGCTCTGATGGGCGCTGTGTGCTGCGCAGGGGTTAATTGCTGCTGCAGGGTTGGGGCAGGATGCACCTTCAGGCTACGCTGCGTGTGCCAAACACCAGAATTTAAGAACCAGCCCATCGTGCAAAAGTGAGCCCAGAGCAGAGCCAGAAAACGGGGAGCTTCGTTCACCGTCCGCACGCAGCTCCCCTGCACCAAAGCCACGAGAACTGCTGGGCGCGCGGCGGCTGGGCAGCGGTGGGGCTGCGGCCCCGCAGATCAGAGCAGGGACGGCCGTCCTGCAGCGCTGTGCTCAGGCACAGCTCCGTCCCGCTCTGCAGGGATCAGCACGAGGCTGTGTGTCAGCAGAGGAGTGGCCACGCTTCTGAAAGTGTAAAATTAACCACCAGCATGAGCAACCACAGCGTCCCTTGGGGGCCCGGCAGTCAGAGCCTGGAAGGGGGCAGAAGACTGAGGCCGGCCTTGTATGGTTGTGTTCCGCTTGACCATGAGAAATCCCTCCGGGTGCCGTTCTCATGCTTTTGCTCCTTTCTATGCAATGCCTTCTGCTGAAAAATGCAGTTTCTTCAAAACACCATTATTCCATAGCAAGAAACACTGGTGTTATTGTTGTATATGAGGTACGTGATGTAAACTTGTGGTGCATGTAGCACTTAAAACAGTGTCTAAATGGAGCACTTTGACTGCACTGAATCCCCTCTCACAGCCAACGCTGCAGATGACAGGTATTTCTGAAAAGGGCAGGTTTCTAAAGGTTGGATTCCTTACCAGTAACGTCAGTGTGATGCTGAGGCATTCGTGTATCGCAGAGGGGCAGTAAGCGATGCCATCCCATGCTCTGCCACCTGTGCTTGTGTTCATGAAGCAGTGACTCCCAAATCATCAGTGCTGTGTAATGAACAGCAGCTTCTGTGAGCAGAAGGCTTTCCCTGTGCTCACCGGTGCTGATTTGTGGCTGCACGTTTGCAGGTGGACTCCTTGGAACAGTCGATGTTGACCAAAAAGCCCAGAGGAGATTCTGACACCCACTGTTCCCATAACAGCCCCGATCTCACAGTGATCAAATTGCAATACTTTTATTTTCAAATGGTCTTCAAACTCATCTTCTTCATCTCTCTGTCTCTTGCATTAATTAAGCTTGCAGGGACTCCCAGCCTCCCCATTTCCGAGCTGGGCACGACTCCTTTTTTTCGCCCTCCTGTAGCTCTGCTCTCGTGCTGCCCTCAGGAGATGCGTTTTCCAAGGTCTTGCCTCCGTCTTGCAGCCATTCTCTTCCCATTTTGTCAAGCACCCAAAGCACTCACAGGTCCTCACACACAGGCTGTGCTCTCTCGTATACAATTAATGGCTGTCTTGCTGCAAGCAGTCGTGTCCTGATGACACGTCGTGCACAAACAGAACAGTCTAAACCAGCAATGAATAAATATTCATAGACACCAATGGAGCCAGCTTCCCACAGCCAAAAATAATTATGAATGACACAAATCAAGAGGGAAAATTAAACAGGAAAATTTGAAAAATAACTGGAAGTTGTTAAAGAACATTTCACTGGAGTTTCCAAACGCCACAACTGCTCATTGGGAAGGTAGAGGTGTTTTGAGTAGGAAAAAATCACCGCCATAAGGAGAAATGGAAACTGTGGCGTTTTGGATCTGCACTCATCCAAGTTCACACTTCAATCATACGGTAAAACACAGAAGTCATAGTTATGGACATCAAGCGATGGATTTGAAATCAAGGAAGTGAGGAAAGATTGTCTATAATAGGAAGAACTGAAAGTGACCCTTCCAACAACAGCACCTGGGCAGCAGCGGTGTGTGTGTTGTTCATAGGGATGTCAGGGCCAGCACTGCAGCTTAGCTGGCTTCTCCCTTCAGCTTTCACTTTCCTGTAATCCTCAGAGGCATCTCGAAGTCTCTTTGCCATTCCTGCCCTTGAACACATACAGAATCACATCGTCCTGGGAGCGACGGTGGAGCAGAACGAAATTCCAGCCTCAGCCTCCTGTTAGACAGTGCTGACTGGGGTCTGATACGCGATGGCACCCAAAGGAGGGAAACGGGGAAGGGTGTGAGGGTGAGGTGTGGGGAGCAGCTGAGCCAGGAGCTGCACTCGATGCTCCTCACGGTCCTTCCTGGCTCAGGATGTCCTTTGGCTCAGGCCATGTAGGGTGAGGGGCAGCAGGTGACGCGCTGGGAAGGAAAGCTGCCCAGAGGAGCAGATGGGCTGCGTGCTCCCATTGCTGTAGAGGACAAACGCTCTGATAAGCGTCCACCACATCCACCTCCACCTCAGCAGGGACGGAGCAGAGGCCCATAGGGATGCATGGGCTCTTCCTGCAATCCTCCCCTCCGGAGCAGATCTCTGGAGGCAGAGAGGTGCTTCGATGTGGGCCTCACACAGACAGGAGCTGCCCTGAGTTTTCTACATCTCCTTTTTTTTTCTTCTTTTTTTTCCCCCCTTTTCTTTCTTTCTGGCAGCGGGAAGGACGTTTAAAGTTGCTAATAAATTCCAGTTAATGAAGCCTGAAAAGCCAGAGCTGCGTGCCAAGAGAAACAAGAGCAATCAGTAGAGAAGGAATAGAAAGAGGATCTTGAAAGCTGGCCTGGGAATAACAACATGTTGAAATGTGTTCACCGGCAAGGGCTTTGTTACCATGCTTTGAATCCAAACACGAGAGCTCGGTGCCAAGAGGAGAAACTGCAGCCAAAGGCAGGTGTTCATTGCCATTCACCTCCTGCTGCGGGGCACAGCGGCAAGATCAGACCCCTTCCCAGCCACTGGCTCTTTCACCTGCCTCTTCTTGGGCCCCGAGGGCCGAGGGACTCAGCATCCAGGGGAGTGCCACGCCGTGCATTGATCCAGGAGCAGCGCCGTGCTGTGCGCTGATCCGGGAGCAGCAGGAGCTGTGCTCTCCCCTTCCAGGCAGCACGGAGCACCGCAGGTCCTCTGCACGTTTTCCCCAGGACGCTGCCAGGCTCCTGTGCCTGCAGCAGCAGGATGCTGCGACTGAGCCCCGTGCTGGGCTCCTCTGCGGCCCATTGGAGACAAGGCTCCCAGCCCTGGTGCATCCAGGACTTCATGTTCTCCTGGCTGACGCTGCTCCGTGGCAGAGCACAGCACTGATCATCAGTGCGGCGGGTGAGCAGCAGCATGGAGAGGATTAAAGGGTCATTCCTCCTATGAAGCATTCCCAAAGTCATTGCTGTGCAATCCGCGTGGTGTGGAGGCAGATGCTGGCGAAGATGCAGGTGAAGACAGGAGAATAGGACTTCCAAGGGGTTCTCCATGGTGCACATTGAAAAATGTTACTGAGGAGCACTGAAATTTCTGTTCTTTTTCTCCTCCGTTTGTGCTGAGGACGGAATTCAGCATTTGAAAAATCCTTGCGAGGGAGAATCTCTGCCCCTCGTGCTCCTTAAGTGGTCCTCAAACAACTGCCAGAGGGGATCCCAAGTGGGGCACAGAGATCGGAGTCAAAATTCTAAACTAAAGGTTTGAAGGGAGTAAATCCCCTCCGAAAACCTTGACGTAAGGGGACAAAATGAAGGTAGTCTGTGCCCTGTATTGGGTTGTTCCATAAGGAGCCGTCTTACTAAATCTTCCTTGGCAAATGAATCCAAACTAGCTTGCATACGAACATTCGTGTGGGTTGAAAACTGGCTGCAGGACCATAAACAAAAGAAACGAATGCCATCAATCTATCGAGTTGGAACAGGCATTTGGTGGGGGCACGGGGAGCTGGGTTAGAAACAGGCCTGAGTCTCCTCCTCAGGGATGGAGTAAAGCAGTAAGACCATGTTGGAGACACCTCCAGGTGATACCGCAGCAGGACCAGCTGCAGATTCCTGTGTGGGAAGGGAGAGTCCAAGCCTGACTCTTTCCTCAAATGTACCATGTTTTCACTTGCATGACTTAATTGGCTTAATTCCTGCTTTGCACCAGCATGAGAACAAACTCGAGCATAGCATGGAGCCCTTGGTCCCCCATGCACCTGGCAGATGGCAAGATCTTGACACGACGACACCGTTTAGACAGGAGTGCAGAGAGTTTATCTGGGAAGAGATTCTGCCTTGACAATATTAGAGCTTGAGAAATGAACCCGAGCAGGAGATCAAAGAGGAAGGCTGACAGGAACGGTAATGATCTGGCAAGGGGAAAATTCCACTGGGATATGGACATGTGTGTGCATCCTGTCCTGCCAATGGGCAACGTTCCTGCCTCCTAATGCGAACGATAAGGGCATCGTCATGTTGGCTGAGCGCGTGACATGAGCCATCATGCCCAACAAACAGCCTTTGGGCGTGCCATGAAGTTGTAGCATGACCAAGAAGCCCGAGATGCAGGAGGGGGTGGGAGCCTGTGGTAACTGAACTACAGCAACCGTGAAGAGGTAAACCATGAGTTTGTTCCAACTTGGAGTATATTGGGAATGCAGATCAAAGCCTGGAGGAATGTTCCCAGAAATCACTGGAGGGGGGAAAGGAGGGGAACAGAATCTAAAATCCACCAAACACGCAAGCTTTCCAAAGACAGCCAGCCAACTCTGGCTCCCGCTCACCTTCCACTTGCCCCTTCTCTCCCTCTTCCATCAGTCATTGTAAATGCACTTTTCCCTTCCTGCCAATCCATCTCACTTTAAAAGCTCCAGGACAGAAGGACATGCAGATGAATCAGGACTGCCTATCCTAAAGAGAGACCTGAGCAGGCTTGGAGCTGTGCTGTGGGTCGGACGTCCACAACAGCAGCCCCCCTTCCGCTGTGCCTGGGGCACAAAGGAGTGCTGCCTCTTGATTCTTTCTTGCAGAGTTTTTTGCTCTGGGCCTCAGAAGCAAATGAAGAGCTGTCTCAAGGGAAGTCACACTGGCAGCATCACTTTGAATGTTATTGTTCCCTTTTAAATAGGAAGGAAATGATCATTTCAGTGAATTTCCTATTGAATGTTGCCTGGAGATGTGTTCAGTGGGTGCCTCCCTGCCAGGCTGGGAGATTTGTGGGCAGTCAGAGAGTGAGAGGGATGGAAGGAACCAAGCAGCAGGGAGACTGCCAGGTGACAGCAAACTGCTGGACAGGATGCCCCAAAAGACCTGAAACACATTCCTGGCCTACGTTCAGAGGAATGGCACAGGAATGGCACAGCTCCCTTGCCTGGGACACCTGGGTGCCTGGTGTTGGGAAGAAGGCAAAAGTAGAGGAGAGAAGATCTGGAAGCTGGAGGTGAGCTGGGAAACGGCACAGTCCCCATGGGGCAGAGCCAAGGACAGGCAGCAGCAGCAGGGACACGGCTGCCTTTCCTGAAGCTGGGAATGCTCTGCCCTCCCCCACCCCCTCAGTTCTGTTTAATTGCGGTACTGAGATGCTGCAAGCTGACCTAGCACGTGTCCCTGCCACCCCGCTCCAAGCCAAGAGTCACAAGCTCCCGTCCTGCCAGTCCTGGAGGTCCCAGCTCCATTTAGGGATCCAGCAAGCAGGAGCGAGTCCTGCAACCACCGGACCGTACCCAGGGACATCAATGCGAGGGCGCAGAGCAGCCAGAAACAAGTGAGGAGGCGCACGCTGACCCCGGAGTGCTGCAGCAGGGCAGACAGGAGCTCCAAGGACAGACAGACCGCGGAGCGGAGCTGGGACGGCCGGCTGGAGCGGCTGAGGATCCGTGCGGGATCCTCCCTCCTCCCGGACAGCCCTCCCTCCAGTGTGGAAATCAGCAATCAAAGAAGCAATTACCCCAAATCGCAGCCCCCAAGTGACAAATAGCCCAGCCTGCCAGGCAGCTTGCATGCTGCAAGGAGGCAGGTTACGACCTGCTCACACACATTAAAGGGACGACCCTGCGCTGTTTATGCTGTCAGAGGCCCTAATTACGGCAGTAATTTTCTCCGGATTCCCGAAGGGAGAGACGAGGAAGGAGGGAGCCTGGGCACCCAGCGAGCTGCTCTGCCACGGGGAGCCTGCAAAGGCTCAGAGCCTCTGCATGACCTCTGCAGTCCTCACTGCAACGTGCTCTGCTTCCAGCCCGGATTATGCTGCTCATCCCCTGCACTTGTCTTCTTCACAGCCAAAACATCTGAAGGGAAACAGGCTTTGTCAATGTTGCATGAATAATACAGCTTGTTTCCTCGTATCTGTGCCAGCCTCTTGGGTCTGCTTTGGAGTTTCTGAGAGGCTGAAGGTTCTCCTGATCACAAATGATGTTCACTGTCTCATGTGGGGGTGCAATATTCCAGTTCAAATCAGGTGGACGGCAGCAAGTTCCTTATCGTGTGTCTGTGGGAAGCCCAACCTCGACACCTGTCTGAGCACAGGAGGATCAGAAAGTAAAGCACAAACACCAGAATAATTTGGGGTTAAGAATCAGGTCACTGAGCCAGTTTCACATCTGAACTCTGTCCCCACTCTGTGTGCCGTCAGCCTGGGGGTCCAACTCTCATCCTTGAGGCTGCTTTGCACTCTCTCTGCCCCTCCTGCCCCTTCACATCAGTCTCTTCCCCAGGCCACGCTGCCCCTATCCTTGCCTTCATTCCAGAGCCCCTTTTCCTTTTCTGTCCTGGTTTTGGGAACAGGCAATACGGAGGGGTCACACACCAGGTGTGCAGCACAGCTTGCAGGTGTTGCTGCCTTCTCCCCAGCAGGGCTGCAGCAAGAGGCATCAGTTGTGAAGTGTCTGCAGACAAGGGGCTGTCATTACAAGGATGCTGATGCATTACTGGCTCTTCTTTTCACTGCAGACGCCTCTCTGGAAACCAGATCTCCAGTATCCCAGGGGAAGCTTTCTCTGGCCTCTACAGCCTGAAGATTCTGTAAGTAATTCATTCCCCTCTGCACAGCCACCACCATCCCTGCCCCCCAGCACCCTGTGCCAGGCACTGGCCATGCACTGAGGCTTGCAGAATGCAACTTAGCGTTGCAGCGCCAGTTGCTGAGCACACAGAGGCTGACACGTCCCTGGGTGACGGAGGAGCTGCACCCACCCAAGGACCTCCACACATCCGCAGCTCTGCTTCCTCACTTCTGCTATGAGCACCCCCATGGCGCAGCCCTCCACGCCACATGGA